TTGCAGATAGTATCTAATAACTCCATACAAATACACTTCAATCACAATATCTGTATGGTTGGTCCCTGGCTCCACAGGCATAGGGGGGGATTGTATGCCTGGCTTCTCTTCTGGGCCAGATTAGAATTAATTAATTGTTAATATTGCAACATTACTTTTGTAATTAAGAAGCCCCACAATTTTCAGTGGCAGCAAGAATGGAAAGTATTTATTATCGGCTCAGATGATGCGGGGAAGAAAGAGAAGCGGAGAAGTCCAGAGAGGGAGAATGTATTGTTTTGCTCTGTCTGGAGGTTTTTCTGTCTAATCTGCAGAGTGTGGGGCTCCAGAAAAGAGGTAGGCTCTCATCTCCGGGCTGGGCCAAGGGCACAGCTTACAGAACCTGCACGGAAGGTCAAGGGCACCTTCTCTCTCAGCTGTGCTGATCCCAGCAGGCTGACCCGGAGCAGACTGAGCCAGGGGGTCCTGATGGGGCTGGAAAGGCGGAAACTAAAGGTGGGTCATGGTTGATGAGTCGGTGACACGCCCCTTCCTCTCTTGATAAGCTGTGAAATCCATTTGTCCTTGGCCACAATGAACCCAGTGAGGCGATTGCTGTCACTTCTGGAGTCTGAGAGAGAGGGCTGGAGAAGGAGGAGGGGGAGAGGTGCCTGTCTAAGGCCCATATGCCGGTCTGTCTCCCAGCACACGACCCTGGGAGTTTGCTTGTCTTTCTGCCTTTTCTCTTCCTGGGGAGAAAATTGAAATAATTTCCTTTGAAACGTGACATTTCCTAATCCGGCGCCTGGCCTGGCTGACAGCAGGATTAGTGTGCAGGAGCTGCCAAGCCTGGCTGGCCATATGCAGGCGCCTCCCGTGGGGCCTCCGTGGCTGGTGCCAGCGCCTCCCCCGGCTCTTCCCCCACCCCCAGCCTGGTCTTGCTGCCCCCTCCATCTGCACATCAGGGACAGGTGGAGTGGAAGCCAGCTCTGGGTCCCTTTCCCTACTAGTGGCCGGAGGCCAGGCAGGGTGGGTTTTTGTATCCACCAGAAGCTGCTGGTGTGATTAGGGGAAAGGAAGGTGGGGTGGCCCGTCTGCCTAGCGATGTCCTGTGTCTGCGGGGACCCACCACGTTGACTTGGGGCTGTTCATGTCCCCTCTATGTGTTTTAGTCTTCTTATCTTTCCAAAGAAAATGTTGCAATAGGGTTTTCCCATCCTTTTGCTTCTCACAGTCTCTGGTTTTACACTCGGTCAATGTGCTTTTGTTAACAAGGACCAACCTAATAGAAAAAAAATCAAAGGCTATCGTGGAGGTGGAGAGGCACTGCTCTGGCTGTGCTTCCCATTCTCTGTTTCCGTCCTTTAGGGATGGTGCTTTGCCCAGAGCTTTGTCCACTGGTGTGCTGGACACATAACATACACTCCCGCCCCACGGCAGCCTGCTAGACTACAGGGTAACAGAGCCTCACGACACTGTGACAGGTGGACACTGTTTTCCTCCTTCTTATAGAGGAAGAAGCCGCGGATTGGAGAGGTTAAGTGATGTGTTCATGTTTTTCGCTCAGGCAAAGTTAAATCAAGAATAGCCTAACTCCAAATCACTGCTCTTTCTAGGCTGACTGTCTGATGTTGACACATGAACTACCTTTCCCCATACACCTGCAACCTCCACCAAGCCTGTGAATTCTGGGAGTTGGGCCACCAGCCCGAGCCTACCTTAGCAGGGTGTCATTTTTAATTTTTGCAGTAGGCATTGGAGTCATGACCCTCAGCTCCACTTGACATTGTGATCTCCACGGCTGTACCTTTTGAGGTGCTCCCAGTTCCAGAATGCCCAGTCCTCAAGCTGCATTCATAGATCAAAATGACAGCTCAAACTTCAGAGGGGACAATTGTTCAGAGGCAACCACAAAAGGCGCTCTAAACAGGTTTGCTGGAGTGGCATCTTCCCGGGCGTGTTGGTAGAGATCCTGTCCCTGCCTTTGAGACCAAGGGCAGAGGAAGCCCAGGCTTTGAAAAGCGAATGAGAGATGAGGTGTGGTCCCGGATGCCCCAGCCTGTTTCCATATCATCCATTGCGATCTTGGTTTGGAGCTGAGATCTAGGGTCTTTCTGAGCTGTTCTGAGCCAGTGGGGGAGGAAGAGAGATTATGCCCCTACCTCTTCCTCAGTCATCCATCTCCTCTGCACCAGTGTTGCAAATGAGGATTGGTAATTGAGGGGCACTTTATTTAGGGGCTGGGCACTGGCAGGTGGGGGGGGGGAGAGGGGAGTGGAAGGGTCATCGCTAAATGGCAGGAGGAAGGAGGTGTGTGGAATCAGCTCTCCCTTCTGCAGCCCTCTCAAGGACAGCTGTAACCAGCCTCCTTCATTCCAGTTCAGGATTAAAGAAGGGACAAAGCACGGCTTGTGCAGGAGCTGGGGTGGAAGAGGACAGCTTGGGTAGAGAATGGCCCTTCTCAGGAACTGGACGTGCTGGGGATAGAGCAGCATTGCTCAGACAACATCAGACACGCTGGGCTGGGAGAGCCGTGCTCCCCTGTGCAGCCCAGTGTGGTCCGCTGGGAACACACATTCTCTCTTGTTTTTCCTTTCTTTCTTCCTCCTCCTCCTCTTCCTTCTTTCTTTGTTTTGAGACAAGGTCTCCTCAGGTAGCCCAGGCTGGCCTCAAACTCATGGCGGTCCTCCTGCCTCATCCTCTAGGCGCTGTGCCACAGGCGTGTGCCACATTCGGAGCACCCGTCTTCCGAGGTGTGTCTTCTCTGAAGTCCAGCGGCCGTGGTCCACTCCACAATTCTGTCTCTTTCTACCTCTGTCTTCCGCTGTCCTTTCTTCTGTCTCCCGTTTTCCTCTCATTGTCTCCCACCCCTATCGATCCTCCGACCTCTACATTAGCATTCACAACCTCAGGCACCAGCCACTTAGACCAGAGAGACAGCTCCTTGGAAACACAATTGAAATATTTTTATAAATGACCAGCGGAGTTTGAGTGACATGCCCTTCTTAGGCTAAATAAAATTAAACTTAAACCTTCTAAAAAATACATGAGCCAAACATCCTCTGCACATTTCATTATGCAAATGCAGCTGTCCTGCGCTGCACAAATTAGCTCTCCTTTTGAAATTCGCCGCTGCTCCTTCCTCTCCCTTGCCTTCCTCCTCCCTCCTCCCCACCCATCTCTGGGCTGTGAGCAAAAGGCTTTATGATTTTAGGCCCACAGCTGGAGTCTGGGGGAGAGGTGGGAGGCTGGAGGGCGGGAAGACCGGAGAACTTGATTTCCTCTTTGTCCACTTTTTCTTTCTCTTTTGGGGGAACTCGGGGAGAGAACAGTGATCAAGGAGCCTCCACCTTTCTGCCTCCCGGCTGCTTTGCAGGGTATGGCCGGAGAGGTCAGTCTGCGGTTGAAGATGGAGGCTCCAGGGGTTGTGGCTGTCAGGGGTCTTGAGGGATGGAGGGACTGACAGGTCCCCTGACTCCCTCAAGTCTGGGTGCTCCCTGCCTAGGGCCTCCCGGAGGAGGGCGGATCGGCTGGGCTACCCTGGGGCTGTTTACCTGCTCCAGGACAGCTGCCAAGTCAGGAGGCGGGACTGGAGTCCTCACACTGTCCCTGGGCTGCTGCAGAGTGACCAGGACAGTGACTTATCTGTCCCTTCCCCAGACGGAGAAGTGCATCAGGAAAGGGTACAAAATAAGTTCCACGAAGGTGTGACTCTTCCCCTGGAATCTCAGCGCTGGGATTATCCTACAGTTTTTCTGTTTGTCTTCTGTGGTATAGGGGCTGAGATCAAATGCATTTGGTGACCTAGCCTAGGCCGTGGGGGCCTAATTAGAATAACACCTAGTTCAAGGCTCTCTTCATTGATTTAGGGCTGGGGTAACACAAGTTGAGGATCTAAGAAACAGACCTAAGTAGGAATGGAGGTGATTTGTAGTTTTTTTTGTTTGTTTGTTTCTCCAACTATGTTTTTAATGTTTATTTATGTTGTTAAATACACCTATTCATTACTGCTGGCTGCCGACTAGTGATTGTCCCCAAGCACCCACTGACTAATCCTTCGGACATCTGGGCTGCCTCAGGGTCCGTGCGATAATGGAGACTTTCCAACACACGGTCTGGTGGGTCTTTCACCAGGTTTGATGTGTGAGCCCAGAGTGGCCTGCTCTGTTTCACTCAGATGCGCCCAGGACTCCGGAGGTCAGCTTCATCAGGGGACTGTCTGTCCCTTGCCATGCCTGTGGGTTTCTGTCTCCCTTTTTCTTGCATTGGTGTCTGCTAGCTAACGGTGCCAGGCAGAGGGACGGACCTAAAGACATTCTTCCCCGTTCTCCGCACTTCTGATTATTACGTGCTCACACATCTTTTCACCTGCCTGTGTGGGTAAGGACACGTTAAGGCGTGAGTTGCCTGTTCATAGTTGTTTGCCCTTTCTCACATGTTTTGCTTGTTGATTCGGATGGATTCCTAACACACATTGTCTTGACACATAGTTTTCTAGTCGGTGCAGTATTTTCTCCTACTTGGTCACCTGCTTGTTAACTCCGTGGTGTCCTGCTGTGAGCAGGAATCCTCAATTATATTCTAGTCAAATATATCATTTCTTTTTTGCCTTATGATTTGTGCCTTTTGGGGTCTTATTAAAGGAATCTTCCCATACCAAGGTCAAAGTGATATACTTTTTACATTTTGCTCGATTAGTTTTATAGTTTTATGTATCACATTTTAGGACCTTAATCTTCAGGGTTAGTTCAAATTTTTATACAGTACAAGGGGAAATTTGAGATTTAGGTCTTCTTAATGGTACCCACTGAGCAAACCATCTTTTTCGCCAGTATTTTATGGTTTCACCTATATTTTTTATGCAGCCTACACACATACACTTAATTAATTAATTAATTGGTGCAGTACTGGGGACTTAACCCAGAACTTCACACTAAGTGTTGTAGTCAGAGGTTGTGCAGAGAACAATTAGAATCAGGCCATGGAGTTTATAATATTATTTTTATAATCGTCACCGGTAGTTAACACAAGAAAATGTAAGGAAATCTATCTGCAGCACCAAAGGCATAGAATATTTAGTCAAGGGCCTAAATCCATGTGATATCCACGTGAGTCCGGATGAAGACCCAGAGCTCATGACAATGCCTCCCACGAGTCCAACTGGAGGTCCAGAGCCCACAAGGACTCATACCAGTCTCTTTTACAGATCCACCCCAAAGGTCAGTGGTGGAAGCCAGAAAGTCTATGCCAGGGGGGTGAAGGAGCTGTGCTGGTAGGTTGAGGGTTCTATACTGGAGCCAAGAAGTCACACTCACAACAAAGACCAGGGCTGTCCTGAAAGGCACCACGGCCATCCTCAGCGACATGGAGGCCCCGACCTCCTCCAAGACAAGCACAGTTGAGTACATGTCAGGAAGCCAGCATGACGAGTTGGTCCTGGAGACCAAGCGGCACACGTCTTCCCCTCCGGAGCCAGGAAGCAATGCTCGATGTGAGGACCAGCGCTTCTCCAGGAGAACCAACGGCTCAAACAGCAACTCGTAGGAGAACCCATAATGCCTCAGTGTAACAATGCATTAACGCCTCAGTGCCTTAACAATCTCCTTCTCCTTCTCCACCTATTTATGCCGGCAACTTTCCTCAGGTGGAGCATCTTCGCTCAGTGCCATGCTGATGTAATCCAGCTTGTGCTAAACCACCAGTTCTTAATCCATAACACTAGCTACATCCCCAGCCCTTTTTTATTTTTTATTTTGAAGCAGGATATCTGTAAGTTGCTAAATGGCCCAGGCTGAGTTCAATCTTGCAATTCTCCTGCCTCAGTTTCCCAGATGGATTCCCAGATTGGATTGATGTGCTGGCATTTCAAGCATGCATCACCACATCTGGAACATATCTATTTTATATACATGATATGATAAAAATCTCAGTGCATGTTCAAATTTTTTAAAAATTATTACAGTAAAGGCTGTAAAAAGGAAGACCCATCTGCAAGTGAGAAATGAGCCTTCACTAGAAAATAAATTGACCGGTGTCTTGATCTTGAATTTCCTAGCTTCCTGAACTGAAATAAATTTTTCTTGTCTAAGCTGCAAAAAAGACTGTAAAAATGTGAGTGTTTTTATTTGACAGAAATTGCCATAAACATGTGATCAATAAGAAATGATTATAAAATCAAGTGACTGTTTAAATTTAAAACTTTATTTCAGGGAAAGACACATTGCCATTAATCCTCTTCAGAATACTAAAACTACTTGCCCTTACTTCAAACACATTTATCCTCTCATTCTTGCTGCGTTCTGAAGCAGGTCTGACTGTCCTCTTTTGTGAGTGTCTTTAGTACTGTGGTGGCGGTTTGGATGTCTTAATCAATTCAAAACATTTACCTTTCATGGTCATTTATACTTTGAGAAGTTGAACTATGCTAGAACTGGTGAACAAGGTGAATATTTTTTTAAAAAAAATTATTTTAGAGAGAATAAAACAAAGCAAAACAAAACCGAATAAAGCCAAGCAAAACAAGACAATGCAGGTGACACAGGATCTCAAAATAAAGTAATAGGAAATCAACAATGGCTACCATAATGCCCCTTCCTGTCTTTAAAATAGCTGACCATGTCCTCAGACACAGTAAAACCAAGCAAAACAGAACCCAATAAATCAAAACAATGAATGCAATGCTGGACTTCAAAACAAGATAATAGTAAATCCAAAATGGCTACCATAATATATGTTATTATCTTTGAAATAGCTGCCCATGCCATTAGATACAAAAAAATCAAACAAGGGCCAGGGATTTAGATCAGTGGCTTAAATGCCTGCCCGGCAAGCATGGGGTCATGAGTTTAATCCCCGTTAAAAAAAAATCAAACAAGATAAAACAGAATAAAGCCCAACCAAACAAAGCAACGAGAATGACATAGGACTTTGAAACAAGGTAATAGAGAATTATCATTATCAATGGCTACCACCTTTAGAAGGAAATTCCCCATAGAGGCTACACTGAATGTTGTTATCCTCTGAAAAACTATCAGACTATTGGCTTCAGACCTGCAAAGTCATGAAACACCAAACACTACAAGCATTAGGTTATATTTACCTCATTAGCTATCATCACAGACTGTGTTTCTCTGGATTAGCCAGTTGTTTATGGCATGTGTGTGTGGGGGGGATGTTGGCTCCCTGGCCTTGCACCAGAAGGGGTTGGCATCTGTCTCTCCCCTAGTGTCTTAGTTACTTTTTACTGGCTGCTGAGACAAAATACCTGATGCCCAAAGTTGGGAAAGGAAAGGTTTATTTCTTACAGTTTTTGGAGGTTTCAGTCCATACTCAGTTGGCTCCAAGGCAGGCTGGCATGGCAGGGCCGCAGTTCATGGCGGCTGCAAACAGCAAGGCAGAAACTGGCCAGGGAGCAAGACACACCTTCTTCCTGCCATTACATCACCTCCTGGATCCACCCCTATGTGGGTGTAGCACTGACACCATCAATCCAAGCACCATAAAATGAACCAATCACAGGTGCACAATGTAAATGCATGAGGCCTGGGGGACACAGACATAAACCATGACACCTAGTCAGCCCACAAATGGTGCTGACACACAGGAGGTCTTAGCTTCTTGCTGACTTCTTGTTCTCCCCCATAGTCTGCAAATGGCGCCAACTCACAGGAGAGGGCTGGTGTCTGCCCCTGCCCGGACGCCCCATCAGCTAAGACCTGAATCACAGCTTGTAGCTTCCTGTTGACTTCTTGCTCTCCTCCAAGGTGAATATTTTTATTTGAAAGAAATTGTCAGAGACATTTGATCGATGAGAAGTGATCATAAAATACAGAGAATGTTTCAACTTTAAAATTTATTATAGTAAAAGACACTTTGGCTTTAGCCATCTTAAAAATTCTCTCTTAGAACACAGCCCATTGTTCTTAGCGATGTGTCATCTTTTGTAACAAGCTTTTCTTTAAATATTTACTGTGTCTTTTTGACCACCACTTGTGTATTTATTTTTCATGGAATCTCTCATCTGTTCTACTGGTTTGTCAGTGCTTATGTCAGTATTAGAATTTTGTCTTTTAAAAAGATATTGTGGTCTTCATTAGGACTGTTCCCAAGTACTCTTCTTGTTCTTTCAGGAAAACAGAAGGGTCGCATTTCCTTGTCCACTTGGAGTTAGTCTGGCCTCTGGGACTTGATTTGGGAATAAGATGCGAGCACAAGTGACACCTGTCACTTCTAGAAGGAAGCTTTCAGAGCCCGTCTGTAATTCACCATGTCCCTTCCCTGCAGTGACACCCTGTACTGCTCCAGGTTGGTTAAGATGCTGGCAGCCTGGATTCTAGAGAGAAGAAACAGAGCAGAGCTTCAGGGACCCACAGTGGACCTGTAACAAGAGGAAGCAAAAACTTCGTTGTTTTGTATTTGGAGTTTTCTTTCTGCAGCAAAATCTAAGCCTATCCTGACTAAGACAGCAGCCAAGGTGTATATGAATCCCAACAGCTGATAGGACATGTTCCTTCTCCTTATTTTTCTTTGAAAATTATTTACTTTTAGCTGCTGGTGGTGTACACCTGTAATTCCGGCACTTTGGGAGCCGGAGACAGGAGGAATACATGTTTGAGCCTGGGCTGGCAATTTAGTAATTTATCAAAATGAGACCCTGTCTCAGAATTAAAAATGGGGAGGGCTGAGGCTGTAACTCAGTGCAAAGGCTGTTGGTATTGTAAAATCTGTAGTATTTCAAAACAAACAAACAAACAAACAAACAACTAGCTAACTCTTTGAGGCTTTTGTTCTTGCATTTTTAGAATTTATCAGTATTTTAAAATACTCCAGTTGGAAAAAAATCCACACACACAGGCAGTTTCCAGCAAGATCGTAACATGCAGTAGGGTGGAAAGAGTTTGATACTGCTGAACTACAAAGAGACTTAGGTTTAAAATACACGTATTGGTGCCGTCTCACTAGATACCTCACCAGAGCCCCACTAGTTTCAGTCTCTTGCTGTTTTTCGGTTTTATCCCATATTCTGCTTTTGGTTTTCATTCTCTTCCACACTTTCTTTCCCGTGAATAACAACAAATTTCTCCTGAATCCTGCACAGAGAGGCTTTCTCCCTCATCCCAAGTTTTGGTGTTACTGTCACTCAGCCTTCGAGGGCTCACCTTTTATTTCAGATTTGTCAGGAGAATCTTCCAAACAATGACAGTTCTCCCCTTAGAGGAGTTCTGATGCCAGCTGTCAATATAATGCAAAATCATCCACTGTGTTAGACGTGAAAAGGGCTGAAGGGAAAATTGGGTAGCTGAGGATGGGGTGGGACGGGGAAGGAAGGCATGCATTCAAATAACAACGTATCTTACAGCATGAAAAGAAGAACCCATTTCATGTGGGTAAAGAAGCTGACTATAAAATGAAGTCTCAGAAAAATAAAAGACAATATCTGACCTCTATTCCTGACCTTGAAATTAACGGCAGAAATCATATACACCCAGACTGACAGGCTTAACTACATAAAGAGGATGAAAGGTACCAAATGTCCAATCAATGTAAGCAGAATTTAAGGGTGTGTTAATTAGCTTCTGTTACTATAACAAATACCCATGATAAATCAGCTTATTAGGAGGAGAGATTGATTTTGCCTTACAGTTTAGAAGTTTTCATCCATGATTGCTTGGCCTCCTTGCTTCTGGGCTTGAGGTAAGAAGGATTCATGGTAGAAATGAGTGGTGGATGAAGAGGAAACCTCTTTGTCTGCTGGTGGCTGAGAAGCGAAGGGAGGGGAGCCGCTCCTCTCAGGATCCCATTCAAGACCTTGTGTGGGTGATCTAATTTCCTTCCTCTGAGCCCCACGCCCTAAATGTCCTCCCAGGAGTCCTATTGGTCTGGGAGTGGAGACTTTAACACCTAGGCCTTTGGAGACATTTAAGATCCAGATTATAACAAAGGGCAATCAGTGAACTCGGAGATTCATTGTTATTCACATGGTAGGAAGAAATTTGTGATTTTAATGGATAAAATGTCAATCTGCAGAAATCCAGGGGTACATGACTTGCCAATTCCTGAAGGGTGGGAATTGAAATAACTAAATAATTGAAATAACATAAGGAAAAAAATACTCCAATAGGATCTTCTGTTTGAGTTAATAAAGCTGTGGATCTTGATGAAATTGTGAGAGGCATCAGAATCTGCTGCTTGCATTTGCTATTCTTTTAATTTCAAGAATAAATCTTAAGGGACAGTGTTGAAACTCATCACAAGAAACCTAAACAGCCAGCTAGTAAATAATAACTACACAGAAGTAGCAAATTACAGCCCCGATGGCAAAAAGAAATCCAGGTCTGTCCTTTTTTTATACAGTGGAGTTAACCAACATTTTTTATGGCTCTGGGTTTGGGGTCAGAATGAGAAAGGTCTACCTGATTCCAACCCTGTATTTGTAATGCCGACACTTTTTCTAGAATTTGATGATCTGATTTATAAACTGCAGATCTTCTTGAGTTGATTTTGGTGTAAGGTGTGAGACAGGGATCTGATTTTACCTGTGTTATTTTTTCTTTAGACGGCTGCTTGGTCATCTAAATGCCAATTATTAAAAATTTCTGTCTCCCATTCTTTTGAAACCAAATGTAAATGGGTCTTTCCTGTTCCACTGATTTGTTGGCCCGTGTTCCTGTCACATGCTAAAGTGATTTTAATGTTGTCACCTCATCATTCTATTGTTAAGAATGTCTTCATATCTGGTGAAACAAGCCCTGCTTCTTCCAATCATTACTCTTCTTCCTCAAAAATATTTTTTTAGGGCCAGGCGGTGTAAGTGCCTGCTTGGCAAACATGAAGTCGTGAGTTCAATCCCCAACACACACACAAAAATTTTTTTTGTACTATTTCTTGTTTATTGATATAAAGAGTCGCTACTTATTGCAGACTTACCTTTAAATCTTTTCCAGAAATACTCAAGCAAACAAAAACAAATAAAATTAACAGAATGAATCCTAACCTTTGTTTGTATTTAGGAGGTTTGTATTTGCACCAAATCTATACATTAATATATGGAGAATTTAGCATAGTTTTTGGTGTTGAATCTTCACATCTAAAGCTTCTATTGATGATTAATAATGTCTTCAGTTTATTTTTTATTCCAGGATCATCAGTGTTTCTTGGTTTATTTTATCTATTTTATCTTCTTTGTTGCTCTTCTAATCAGACACTTTCCTCCATTATATCTTCCATGTGGTTATCTGTATAAATATTTTGGTATGTTAATTTTATGACCAGTCAATTTAATAAACTTTTTACATTTATTATCTTGAGTTTTTCAAGCAAATAATCATATCAGCTGAAAATTAAAAGTATTTCTGTCTTCTTGCATGTTCAAATCACTGGAATAATGTTTAATCACAGTGGGAGTATTGACAATGTCCTGGTCTTGTTTTTGATTTCAGTGAGAATACTCACGGGATTTCCTCACTATTATGATTACTGTACAAACATACAAACCTTTGATCATATTAAGGACATGCTTGTCTTTTACTATTTTATAAGGAGTTTTACAAAAACACGAGTGTAAATTTTTCCATGGTTTATGTAGCACCCATTAGGATGGTCTATGTGACTTTCCTCATTTAACTTATATAAAGAGTTACTACTTATTGCAAACTTACCTTTAGATCTTTTCCAGAAATACTCAAGCAAACAAAAACAAATAAAATTAACAGAATGAATCCTAACCTTTGTTTGTATTTAGGAGGTTTGTGTATGGTGAATTACAAAGGGACATTTTAATATTCAATCATTCTTAATTCTGGGAGCACATTTTATTTTACCATTTTTAAGCAGGCAACAAATTTTTATTGTAATATAGACTTATTACATTTTGATATTAGTAATATTACTTTCATAAAAATAATGAGAAGTGTTTCTCTTTTTGTGTGCTCTGAAGAAGTTTACTCAGCACGAGAATTGCTTGTTTCTGGAAGGCTTCTTAGAATTCTTTTGTGCTAGAGTCTGACTTGATGCTCCTGGGAGCAGAGGAATAGCACTTTGACCGTTTTCCTTAGTTTTCCTTCGAAATTAATCTATTAGATTATCTAACTTTACTGTGGTTGGTTTTCTCAATTTATATTTTCTTGAAAATTTGTCTCTCTGTGTAAGTTCTCAAATTATTGTGTGTAAGGACGAGAAAATAATGTCACATTAGTTTTACATTTTACATTTTTGTGGTTAGTTTCCTATTGAAATTCCTTATTTAAGGTTTTCTGTTTTCTGTTTTTGGTTTGCCAAGACCAGCTAACTAATCGTTAATCTATTTTATTAATTTTAAAGTGTATATGGTTATTTTTTGGATTTATGCATCTGTTCTATAGTTTTTAAATTTAATTCTGCTTTGAAATAACCAGCGCTTTCTTTTTGCTTTCCTTAAGTGGGAGTCTGTTGTTTTTTCTACTTCTGGAATTCCATACTTATTGTATTTCTTTCATTTTTGCTTATTTTCATTTTAACTCTCTACTTATTTATTAGTGCATATTTGTACACAGCCTAATGATGTTCATTTCCGGAAATTGATGCATGCACATAACGTGTCCTGATCACTTTTGATCCCTGTCCTCCTCACTCACTTTTACTCTTTGAGCACATAAAGTTTTCTAAGAGAAAACATTTTTATGAAGGCCATTTTAGAAGTATTTTCCAATTTCAGTTTTGATTTCCTCTTTGTCCCAAGAGAAAGGATGAACATTTCTGAGTGGAAAGGATTTTATTTCAAATTTCTAATTTCATTACATTACATTCTCAGAGTATTGCTCATATGGTTTCTATTTTCTGCACTATATTGAGGATTTCTTTGTAGCTTAAGATCTTGAGTGATTTAATTTTCAGCGTTGAGCTTACTGACCTGAATATATATTCTATACGTGTACATATGTATATTGTGTGTTAGAGTAACTTTATAATCAGAGTTTTGCCCCTTTGTGTACTTAACTATTTTTATTTACTTCTGCCATGGATTGGGGGTCAATTGTAATAGTCTCTGACTTCTGCTGTGCCTCTGACCTTCCTTGCTCTCGGGATATCGGTGTGATGATATTTGAAGAATAAACACTCACCTGTCAGATGCTCACGGAGATGGTGCCCCTTCCCATCCTAATTTTCCTTTTTTCTAGTTGGGTGCTCTCTGCATCCTCACTTCTCTCCCAACCCCAAGCTTGCAGCTACTAAAACTGTGCTTTTTACTTGTGTTTGCGTGTTATGTCTTTGCCCATTTGTTTTGTTTTCAAACTAAATAATCCTGCTTTAAAATATAGAAGAAATTTGAACCTTATTTTTTGATTCAGTCTGAGAGCAAATATTTTTAGTAGGTGAAATTCATACAAGTCAATATGACAGACGTATCTAGTCTTTCTATTTTTAAGTCAAGTTTTGTGCTATACTTTCTGGTTTCATTGCTACTTCATTTTTTTTCAATCTTTACTCCATGTTCTGTTTTATTTGGTTGAGTTTAATGTATGCATTTCTTCTACTAATCTGGAGGGCTTGCATTTCCCCTAGTAAATATCTCTATCTATAGCTCTGTCTGTAGTTATAGCTCCCTTTTCTTGAGTAGCCATTGACTACTTCCTATGAGTAAATTACTATATTTCTTTTAAAACTTTTTATTAGTACCTTAGTTAATTGTTATTTAAAAAATTTTTATACTTTTAAATTATGTGGATGTATATCACCTAATTAGTTTGAATGAAATATTTAACAATGAGTTATAAGCAAAAAAGCTGGCAGCATACTGAAATTATTTTCTATCTTCTCTTATACTCAAATTGCCTTATAGAATTTTTACATTCTTAGGATCATGATGCCTACTTCTGGTTCTGCAGCTGTAATCTCTGCACTGCTGTCGTGTCAGTCTGCTTTTAGATAGTGCTTAATGTCACCCCTACTTCTCCTGGACTTTCAGTTCAGCCTCTGATTGCCTTGAAATTGTCCTCTTAGAGATTCTTCAAGCTTATGAGGCTGAGGTTCTCACACATGTGTTTGTCTATCAGTTCTGTCCTTATGCTTAATCCATAGTTTGCCTGGACAGAGCATTGTCTGATTACACTTTTTGTTTCTTTCCACTAAATAGCATTGAAGGAGGGACATCTGTGGATATCTTCATTTTTTCCCTCTCACTTTCAGGCAATGTGATTTTTTGGACTAGATATTCCCAAGGATTCCTTGTCTTTGAAGTCCAATGACTTGTTTAGATTTGACAACCTTGTGCCAGTGTTTTCCTGGGGTATAATAGGCCTTTGATCTGTAGATTCATTTCTTTTGTATTTCCGGAAAGTCCTACTAAGTCATATTTTAAACGTCTTTCTTTTCATGGGGACATGAATTGCGTGCTTGTCTTTCCCATAGTTTCTATCATTTTCTCTTACACCTTTTAAGAATCTCTTACTCACTTCTACTAATTTTTCTCACTTTTTCCAAGTCTGTCTTTTTGTATCTCTTTCTATGCATCCAGCAGTGTCGTTATTAGTTTTATGTTTTCCTTGTGTTTATTTCTGAACAATTCCATCTCACGATTTATACAATTGCCTTGCATTGTAAAAGGAATGTTTGTACATCTCTTTTGTCTTCTTAGTTTGTGGAAGTATTTGCTTCATTGAGTGTTAAAAACTTTCCGTGGCATTATGTTTGTTCATCTTCTCCATGACAACATTTTTCTGGAAATCATTCATCTGCGACTTACTTTATTGTATCTCCCTGTCTTCTTTTCTATTATAGCATTATTGATAGAAC